ATACCTAAGACAATTGAGAAAAAATATACACATATATCTTTATATATTTATAAATGTGCGTGCGTGTGTGTATATATATATATATATATATATATATATATATATATATATATACTCACATCCTTATAGACTTGTAAATCAACAACTGAATATGATAATCATTATAGCAATTGTGATTACATCATCAGTCATGTCAACATGCCCTTCCTTTCAGTAACTATGATCCTAATGAGTAATAATGACGGAAATAATTGCAGCAATAAAACAACAACAAACACATTAATAGTAACAGGAGTAATTATGACTGGTGATGATGAATAAAAACAATTAGCTATATTTTCATCATCACAATTTTTAAAAATAATCATTATACTGAATCCCTGAAACCCCTAATAATGTTAATTATCAGTCTCTCAGAAACTTTATTTAAAATAGAAGATGCTTCTATACCAACTGGCCTCTTAGGTTCGGACTTCCTTTCACAGTTTTACATGCAGCACATTAATTAAAAATGCACAATGGGAATACTCTTTTAATGTTTTTAAAACTTTGATATGTTTTACAGGTAATTTCACAGTTGCGTGTCCTCAGCCGGTCTGTGGCAACAGGCTCCAAATTTGACCGAGAGCTTTGGTCAAATGGACTCTCACCAGTTCTTAACTTATGGAAGAAACTTAACCAGGTCAGTGAATATTTTTCAATATCTTCTGCCTTATATGAATTCATACTGTAGTTGGCTTTATGTCTATCTGCTCATTTTGCTGTGATGAAGCACCTGTGTTTTAAATCACTCTGTATGATTTTACACTATGTGAGAATTCAGCATGCAGTAATTCCTCAGCATTTCTACAATGCTTACATCGAAACAGGGAGTAAAGGAATAATTGTAAATTAGTCGAGAGCGACTATCACAGTATAATAGCTCCTGCCTTGCCCGGTAAGCCACTGCTCCTGTGTGTGGTTGCTTGGAGACAGGCACCTTTTTTTATTTTTAAATACAGATGATATGTACCTTCATATTAAATAATTTAGCCCATCCTTCCTCTCTTCTTCTTTTATACTCTCCAATGCTATAAAACACCTATGCTACTATCCTCTCTGCACCTTTACTTTACCCTCAGCTTCCATTATTCCTTCAGTTAATTTAGACTAGAATATTTTTTTTACCTGCGTACAAGAGAACGGCAGAGTATTTCATTTCTGTCGGATTACTTAGTTCTGCATCTCCTCCCCAGTCAACGGCTGCCCTGCAGGATTTCTCCATCTGCATATATGCACCTCAGAGTGTGCAGCTCTACATGGTTACATTCATTATTTGCGTTGTCTGCTGATGTTCATTTTGTAAAAAGGATCACATTTAAGCTATTGCATTTTCATGCTTAAAAACTATGTGGGTTTACTTTGAAATATTGGTTGTTGAGGAAGAAGCAAGAAGCAAAAGAGCATTTATGTAGATGTTAAATTCTATTTTTAAACAGAAACAATAGAAGTGCTGTTGTTGGGCTGTAGCAGCTTTTTTATCACATTTATATCACTCTTCATCATTCACATTCATGTATTCCTCCTCTTCAAAAAACACATTATTGTGTTGATAAAGAGTGTGTTACCTTTATTTGAATACAGCTAAATCTTTTTGCATGTTCCCTTATTTACTCACTACCTATCTGCTGCCCAGTAGATTTTTTATTTAGAATTTTTACTCTCTAATACATTTATTTTTTTATTGCTAATATATCTACATTGATATTCAAGTTTGTTTGCACTGCTGGGAAATTTTTTTGTTCACGCTGAGAAACAAGGCACTTGTAAAGAGTTGTTGCCTTTGTTTCCTTTTTATCAGGGCTCTACACTGATCCATCAGAAGGTTGAGCCACCTACAGAGGGTCAGAAGTCCCCGATCCTATCGTTCATTGCTCTGGAGCAGTTTAATGCCATCCGCCTGGTCCAGGTTTGTATCTGGGACAGACCAATTTTCCCATTCTCTTTGGGCTTTTCAGCTTTTGTGCGTGTGTGTGTGTGTGTATTTTTTTTTTGCTGTGTAAGTTTCCTCAAACTGATGTCATTAAGGAGCAAAAAAATTCAACATGGATGTCATTGACATAATCACATTTTAAATCAGTTATAGATTCAGATAGCTTAGCCTCACATACATTGCTTTGCAGAACAATTAATCACTTTTGAGCTATTCAGATGTTTTAACTTACAACTACACACAGAAATTATATGCATGGTTTCCGATATATTAGAACTAGAAACTTTAACAAGTGTAACTTGCATTTTTATTGACAATTCCCCACAATTCCCACAGCAAAATGTTGCCAACAGAAATCACTGGTTATTTAATGTCTGTATAATTACAGCTGGTCTGTGAAGGCCTCAGAGGGTTGTTAGAAAACATTAGGAAACAGAGGGCATCATGAACAGCAAAGAGCAAAGCAGGTTCATGTTGTTATAAAACAATATTCAAAGCTTCAACAGCTCACTGAGCATGGATCAAAGCATCATCACAGCTTAGGTGGGAAATCTGTCCATTATCTGTCGTTACAAATTTGGCTTGTAATGGACTGTAGCAACTAAAACTCTTATTTTGAAAGTCATAAGAGGTCATGTGAAAGTTAATTAAAATCCTGGTGAAAAGTTTTTCATTTTAGGAAAATGAAACACAATTTGTAGCAGAAAATGAGTACCTAAAACACACCAGCAAGAAAGTATGCCATGACTATGGCCGCATCATGCTGTGGGGTTAATTGTGTTTGGTAGGGAAATGGAACATGGTCAGGGATTATGGAAAGCTGAAAGAAGCTCAATCCAGAGCAATCCTGTTCATATTTCAGCAGCACAACAGCGCTAAACATACATATAGACCTACAATTGCTGTTAATTATGTTAATTAAAGATAAGGAAGCCCAGACCTGAACCCAATTGGCAATTAGGATAAAAATACTGTCACGGATGTTTCCCATCCTATTCCAATGAGCTTGAGCTATTTTGCAAAGAAGACTGGAAATAGTATATTTATTCGAAAGATGTAAAGCACCTAGACACATAAAGCCTCAAAAATGAAGTTTTGGTTAATTTTTTATTAACGTATACACAAATTACTCAATAGTATTAATCTCTGTTTGTACCAGCAAGCAAAAAGGGAAGAATTGCACTATTTATAGATATAGGACCTAGTTCTTAGGAAAGAATGTAACAAGTGACAGTGTTAAGAATGAATTAGGTGATGTTGCTGCAAGAAAAGGGGTGAGTTTTAATAAGTTTATATTTTTACCTATTCCTTTCAGTAAGTACATATATTCCTATACCATTGTTCTTCTTTTCTTTTCTGTCTTTAAATATAAATATGTTTTCTTTTACTTCACTGCATTCAATAAAATCACACCAAACAAACCCAACTCAATGCTTTGGACAGTAAGAAAGTTGTAAGTAAATATCACCTAAATACAATGGCTTACCACATATTTCAATGTTTTATTCATGAAAAAATCTTTCCAAACCATCGGTTGTTTTTATTCCACTTCATATTTTATACTGATTTGGGTTTTTATCTATCTTAACTGAATTACCAATGAAGAAATTTTTGTCCACTTTGGGAACTGTGGATACAATAAAGTCTTATTTCTTACTAGAGAGCTAAATTGTGTAAAAACTTCAAATCAAGCATGTTAATATTAATAAGAAGAAATCACATATGAAACAAAGTACCTTATCACAGAAAATACCACTTTTTGTATTTTTGTACTAAACTAAGTGGGGTTTTTATGCAAGACCTTTCCATTCTTTTTTCAAAAAGTTTATATGGGTGAAAAGAAACAAAGATAAACAAAGCAAACCTTTGGTTACTGCAGCTACCAAATTAATATTTTTGGCAGGATGGGATGTATTAAAATCATACTCCTTGTTACAGAGTATTCACCAGTCTCTGGCGGCACTGAGCAAAGTGATCAGAGGGACCCAACTGTTAACCCCCGAGGTGCAGAAACTGGCCACAGCCCTGCTAAATCAAGAGGTAAGAAGATAACCAGAAAGAGCTAAAGTGATATAGACATAAATGGCATTAATAAGTAAGAGCACCAAGTGTAAAGCTAGTTTACCCTTGCTGATAGTCTGTGTTTTCTGTTATGGTACAACATTTTGTATCCTGGTGAATTGGAAAGTGGTAAACAGTGGACTGCTTCACTGTATTTTCCCTAAGGAATTCACTTTCACTTGCCAAAATAAATTACTTGAATGATGAGATTTAACATACTCTCCACAGAGAGCTTTATTCATTTCTTTTAAATCTCTATATCCGTACACCTGCTACCTTTTTGTCTTCTTTCATTGCAGTATAAGAATATGCCCTCGTTTCCCTCAATTAATTTGAGGTATTACAAAAAACTTCGTGAGGGAACTTAAGGCCAAGTGTGCAGTTACAAATACACAGCCGGGTACAAATACACAGCGCTTACATGTGGTATCTTACAAACACAATCTGTGTCTGTGTATATCTCGAGGCTGAACTGAGGACAAAAGGGATAAGATGATGTAGAGAGGAACAGAAACCCAGTTCCCTTTCATTTCTTTTATGTTTATAATCCCCCAAGAGGAGCCTTGGGCCAAAATCTTCCTTCACTGCATTCCTCCTCTCTCTTTTTATAATGATCAGCAGGTATTAGGCTCTTCCCCCAACCATTTCTACTTTATCATTCTTCAGTTTACAGCTATTGCATTTTGCTTGCCTATTTCTTTATTTTATTTTGTATAATCCTAGGGTAAACTTTTTGTGAAAAACATCTACTTCTATTGAAATGGTACACAAAGCAGCACCATGTACATTTTGACCCAAGTGTTAGCTTAATTTGAGATATATTAAATGTTTTTGGTTTTTTTTGTCATATTACCATTCAGCACTTCATTGATTTTGCTGTTCCATGCAGGCTGCCCTTCTGAAAAACTCGCCTGTGTAATTGGAGTGGGTCAGATCTGTTGCTGAAGGGGTCATGTGACCTTAGAGTACTGCTTTATGGCAGTCTTAACTCCTCTAAATACGAGAGCTAACCCTAGAATGTTGTTGTTAGGCAACAAAACATATATGAGACTTAGCTGTTCAGACATATTTTTGGTTCTTGGATGCAGGTTTAATCTAGAAGTGTGAATGTGAATTTGTCTTTACAAATAACTATCATTTCTCAATCTGCTCTCAAAGAGGTCTGCTATCAGATTCCAAAACACAGAGGATAGAGTGTCTAATTTTGCAACAGTAAGGTATTTGCAGTGGCCATCAGAGGCACAAACCCCGAATGTTACAGCCATGGTGCCCCTGTTGGCTAAAAGTTATATAGTGCTGCTTTAAGAAAATAATCACTCTTTCGACCAAAACACAAACAAAAACCTATATACCTTTAAAAATCCACCAAGTTTGAATATGAAACCTATAGCTCATCTCTAATTGGTCAGCTTTAGTAAAACCATAGTGTTTAAATTCTTCACACTGACCCTTCTTTTCCCAAATGGGGAACATTTGTGCTGGCCCCTCAATCTTTGGAATAATCTCATATTTTATTACCCATTAGTTTATAGTTTGAACACGTCATGTCTAGCAATGGCTTGAATAACATATCGAGTATGATTAAAAATAATTGTTTTATTGATAAAATCAGATTAGTCCTTTGACCTTTAAACATAATATTTCCCCATAGGCTTTTATAATAGGATCACCCAACACATATTAACTATAGTTAAGCTTATCTGTTCACACCTTCAGTTTTAGAATTATAAAATGTATTCTTCCCATTATAAAGGTTTGTATAATTAAACGAAGAAACATCCTCATAAGGAGTTTTCTTTTTCAATCAAGGTTTATTAAACTTTTATCAATAATGGTAATTTTGTAAGGCATTAAAGTGTTGGAATTTCATTATCTTTTCTGGCTAACAGTATTGAGGTTTTAGATAATTTAAAAATTCATAATTTTCTCTGCACAATTCCTGTTGTTTAAAATGATTTTATGCCAGAGGAAGTTCAGATGGACCTGAATTTTCACCAGCAATGTAATGTGTAGAGTATTGCATGGCATATACTCACCATCAATTTTGAAATTCTAACCAGAACTATCGCATTTTATTTTAAGACACGGAAATACAGAATGTTAGGAAAATAACAATCTGGCAGTTACAACACATTTGACATGATCCTTGTTTACAAACAACTCTGCTATAAGAACACTTTGCCTTGATTTTTCCAGTGGGTGTTTAATGGCAAAAAATTAGGTGTCAAATATCCACCACTCATAGCTACTATCTGTGTCTTTGGCCTAAATCTTAACTCACACAGAGTCTGAAAAAATGATGTCGCTCAAATGAACTGCAACAGAAAGGAACCCTTTTACAAGTTAGCTGGTACAAAGTGGTGACTACTTTGCAAGGTAAACTGGGCTTAGGAAGTAGGAGGATGATGTAAGCCTTTGTCCTCCTTTATCCATTGATGCAACCCATGCAGACAGCAAAGATTTGCCTATATTTTGTGCTTGGAGTGTTTTTCTCAAAGGGACTTTCTGTGGCTTCATTTTACCAGGCTGTCTCAGATTTTTTGGGAGATGTCCAAAATTAATGCTGCATGAGAACCACAGCTTTCACAAACAAAGATATATATTTAGATATGTGTTTCAGAACTGAATCCCTGTGAACTCAAATATTGCAGAAAGTATCCAATATTAGCATTAAGTGGTTTACCATCAAAAATCTATTTTGTAGCTTGTTGTTCATAACTGGACACACTATTGATAAACTGACCTAAACTGTCTTTAAAGCCAATTTAATCATGTATCAACTGTGCTTAACTTTAAATGTAGACCTGGTTTGATAGAGACCTAATTCAAATAATTAAAGAATCAACAGCATGCTGTAGAAGTTTGCTGCAAGGAAAAATGCCATTATATTAAAGTTTATAGGACTAGGGACACATCTAAAAGTTGTGGAAAACTGGCCCTCACTGACATGTCTAAAGCAGTTCACAGAAGTCCTATCCACCTGTAGCTTCCTTTTCTCACAGAATACTGAGGGAAATGGCCTAGGAATTACCAAAAGAGCACAACAAATAGTCCAGACCCACAGATACACAAAATTTCTAGTTAGTCATTAGGATTTCCACATGACCCAGAAAGGTGTACTGCAAATGACCCTATTTGAAGACACGATATGGTAATCTAAATTTGTTTGTTTTTTGGTAACAAGGAGTATGACCTCATTGTATGATTCCAGAGGTGATTGATATGTGTGAATATTAGTGAATCAAACAGATAGGAGTAAAAAAAAAGTTTGTAAACCTTCAGAAAAGCGGCGGCAACTTTCATCTTTTATTATGCTTTTGTTACTTACCAGGCCAGAGTTTAAGTAAACACCACATTTAATCACTGCCATTTTTTTTAATCAAATGTCTGACATACTGTATTTTGTAGCCACTTTTGACACTACTTTAAACATCACTGTTCTAAGCCTGTGCTTATCCACTAGTACAAAAAACATCATAAAAGAGTGAAATGAAATCACCTGATGTTAACTATTTTTTTTTTTTTTTTTTTGTATATTTAATGACTTTGTTGTATCAGCAGGGCTTGTTTTTCTTGGCACATGTTAAGGTCACTCATAAATTCAAAGAGAACAAAAGCTTTATGTGAGGGAGGTTCTGAGCTAACAGGCATGACGTGATTTACTTTCTCAACTAGTGCTTCAAAAAGACTTAATAACATCTAATATTTATCCATATAACATATGGTGGTTGCCACTGCATCAAAAGGCTGTGTGTACAGAACTGTGGGGACTTTTCAGAAAACATTATGATGCATAACTGTCAGATCACAGGCTTGAACCAGCCATTACTGATTGGGCCATTTTCAACCAGGGGAGGAGGAACAGAATGAGCTGGGGAGATGATTTATCTATTTGGAAAATGGACCGTTTGGGGTTGTAATAATATAAAAGTATGGTATGCATAGCTGTGAGAGATCAGCTACACTGGCCCTCTGTTCAGCTGTGCAGTAAAACATAATTAGTAGCTTGGAAAGGGGCCAAGATACCCATCAGAGGAGAGTGGTAAGCAGCACTGCGAAATAGAAAGAAATATCCACACTGTCTTAAGTCAGGAAAAAGCTCATTAATATAAGGATGTGATGCTGGGAAGACATTTTCTATTAGAAGTTGAACAGCCTTTGGCACCATTGAGTTTTTAAATATTGGCTTTAATTAAAGAAATGGCAATATATTTCTTTAGGAAAAACTCTGGTTCTAAAATTGAATATCTAGAAAAATGCTAATATTTTAATAGTAATAAATTAGGAAGCCATTTTGTTTGCCACCATTTTTAACTTGTCAAACTGATCCATGATCAGAGAACATTTCTCATGTACCAAACAGTTTTTCTTACTGGTAATATCTCAATTACTGGAAATGTACAATCTGTAGTGCTGCACTGTGAACATTGTTAGAATGTAGTGGGATGACTTACCTGTTGTTTTGCAGGTTAACTGTTCACTGTTACAGAAATATTGGTTTTCTCCCATTTGTTGCATTATTTCAATAATGGGGTACAAGTATATCCAGTTCCAGAGACAAACAATGTTTGTGGTATACAATGTTTATTTTGGTTCATAAGACTAGATTTACCAATACTGTGGATATGACCTAGATCGTCTCATTTGTAGTTTTGTTTTTGTATTTCTTTGGTTCCAGCAATATAGTTTACTTAGACTTAGTCAACTTTTGTCATTTTGTATACACAGAGTGTATGCAAAACAAATTTCGTTTTGTACAGCATTCATGACATTTCTTAAAGTGCAGCAGTGATCAAATGTGGGAGAAACAACATAGTGCAAAAAAATGCATTGATATGGTTAGTTTTAATGCAGAGTCTGTGACATGATTTTGAATATTTTCAACATTCAGCTGTCTGATGGTGGTGGGGAAGAAGCTGTTTTGGAATCTGCTGGTCCTGAATGGAATGCAGCGAAGTGCATTCCATGCAGACCCCACAATGGACCCCCACCATGGACTGTTCTCCCTGCCACCTTCTGGGAGTTTGTGGGTTCTTTGATAATGTTACAGGCTCGGGACACGCAGCAGTGGGATCAAATGTCTTATATGGATGGAAGAAGAGCTCCGACGATCTTCTCCAGTCAGACATGCATGAAGTTATCAGTTTAAGTATCAAAGATAACAAACTGTGTTATATACCTCTTAACAGTGTAGTATCTCCAAAACCTGACAGTTTGAACACTGAACTAAATTTACGGCAGACATAAGCCCCAAAGGATTTGAAAATACTGTTTAAATCTGCCTTTTTTGTTTGTTTTTTTTTAAATAAGGTTTTTTAATTTAAGTTAATTTAATTTATTGAATTTTGTTTTATTAAAAGAGGATCAAATACAGACCGTTCACATTAAAGACACTTTAATTAAACACTGATAGAATGCTATAAATGAGAGATACTAACATTAGCCAATTGGGCTACTTTCATTGCTTACCCTGACGTTGTCACTGCCTCACTTTCCTAATGAGCATCCTGAATTCTACCCAGCTAATTATTGTTAAACAATGTTTTTGTAAATAAGTGTTGTCAGCCAGCTTAATGAGAAGTAGTCAGGTCCATCAACATAGAAGGTAAACTCAAAAACTTCTTTCTTTCTCATCCTTTAACGTAAAAAAACAGACACAGTTGTGGGCGGCTCGGAAAATGTGTTTTAGACGTTAAATATCAATTATTTAACATTACTCTAAAATCAATGCAATAAATATTAGATGTTCTACAAAATTTATTTCCAGTCCTTCTTTAACATTATTGGATGTATTTTGTTAAATATGTTACAGTGTGATATAATTTGTGTTGTTAATTTCAGATGCTATTAACTGATATGTTTGACATATTTAAAAGGAAATTATACATTTTGCTTTTAGGAATAGTTTAAAGGAAGTTAACAGAGATTGTATGAAATCAAACAGCTTACCAACAGCTATATGTGGAAAGGCTATCCCTCACACTAGTGGGATGTGTGGTGTTTAATTGTATTCAGCACTTCATGTTTGTTATTTTCTTTTCAGTGTCCTGTAAACTGGCAGAATAAATGGGAAGGACCAGAGGAGCCAATGCAGTACCTCAGGGCTGTTATAACACGAGCTCTAGCCATACAGGTAAAGCAACGCTATGCATACACACTTTTGTCTGTCTCTAAGGTTCAGACGTGTTCCTTTCATATAAACTCAAAAAAATTATATATATGATTGAAATAGTTTATTTAAAACAGTTTAAAAAACATCCCAAAACTTTTTTTTCACTACCTAATAGGAGAAAAGTTAATCACTTAATAAAGTTTTTACTTGTTTAGTATCAAACCCAAAATGAGGATCTTTTTATCAACACTGATTATTTAGAAAATATTTGCTACTGTAAATAATTGAAACATTAAAAATGATTAATCATCATCTTCAGGATCATCTGAAACAGCATGTACCAAAAATGTTAAGGATTTTATACTCGTGTTTTCTCTCATTGGAAACGCAACAGTGCTAGATAACTAGAGCATTCATTTTAAGCACGTTGACAAATACAGACTGTTATAACTGTATGTAAGGATGTTTTTTTTTTTTTTTTTTTTTTTTACATATGAAATTTGCGTTAATTAACCTTTAAAGGGCCTCATGAAGCCTTTGGTGATAAATGAAACCTGGCGCCTTTAAAGTGGCATATAAACACATAAGGAGTTGCTCTGGATTTTTGAGCTGTGCAAAGAAACACTTTAGAAATCTGCTTTTCCCCCTAAATCTAATATGGTTTTAAAATGTTATTAGTTTATATGAATCTTCCTAGTTTATATGAATTCCTGTGTGTCCTAAAATGACAAAGAAGTCTGTCCAGCTCATTAAGACATGCCATAGAAATCATGTGACTGCATACTGCATTATTTGAAAGAAGACGATTTCAGAAATATTTATTCTCAGGTCAGTGAGAGAAAGCAAGGGTTCTCCTCTTAGGTGTGTCTGACTGCACGCCTACTTCAATCTGCTCAATGCAAGCTGGTACAAACACAGCCTTTATGTAATATTTTATTTCTGTGCAGATGCACTTCATGATTTGAGTCGAGCGCAATGCATTCTGCCTCTTTCCGTTTGCAGGCTGCCCTGACCTTCTGTGTGCATACATCTTCCTGACACTTCTCCTTTTATCCTCTGTTCTAGCCTCACTGTCTACCTGAACTCGATCTGTCTTCATGCATGTCTGTCTGGAGGCGGCAGTGTCCTTCACTGTCTCTTTTGGCTCATCATTGCTGAGTGATAACTGTGTTAGCAGCTTCTCTGTATTCTCTTAGCTAATCAAGGCACAGCCATCCAGAGCTGCTGAAGAAGCCAGCAGCACAGTGTCCCCAGACAAATGGATCAACTTTGGCAGTAGCAAACTTTGAGATTTTAACATTACCAAAATAACGCGTATGATTAATATACTCCATCTATATTTAGTATACATTATTTAAAATTACAGATACACAAATAAGAGATTTTGTTAATAATTTCTAAGCTGTTTATTTTAAATAAAGCTCTGACCTAGCTATAAGTTTAACTCCACCTGACCATTGTCTGGCGCACTCGCCCCCCTCGTTATGTTCTGTCGGCAGCCGGTTGCCAGGCCAGCTTAATGCTAACGTTTACCCCGCCTATTCTGAAAAAAGTGGAAACTGTTGCATGATTTCTGAGCCGCTTTGCTTCCTTAGGTCAGCACCAACATTAAAGGTTTAATTCTAACCTTCACCGTTGTTTTACCTCTTGTTTGTTTTGATTGGATTTGAAGCAGTAAAAAGTAACCCCAAGAAAAATAAATTTCTCAGTTCTTATCCCGGAGAGTGCAGCAACAGTTTTGTCCTCTTATGTATTATCATTTTTTATAATAAGCTGACCCTAATTTACATTGTTTTTTCTTTGACATGTAGGTGATTAGAGCTGAAAATGGTAATTCTATATATATATATATATATATATATATATATATATATATATATATATATATAT